GCTAAAAATGAACAAAAAAGATGATGCTTCCAACACTCTCAGTGGTACCTGGCATTTATTTGAAGTCTGATATTGCACAGAGTACTCCCCTATCTTTGACTCCAGGTTTCCGGTCGAAAAGCACTGGATTTCTATTAGAACAATGGATAATTCTGTGGGTTTTGTCCTGATTTCAAGCCCTCACTCTGATCTTCAAAGATGTATTTCCTTTGCTGTTTCTTGTTTGACCCTGTTCATTGCAGTAATGCAAGACAGACAGGTGAAGAGTGAGGCAGAAGAGACAAAAATTGCTTGCTAAGCAGAGGGTAGGATGATCCCATAGCTGGCTAGAGAGAACAGTGGCACACCAGAAATGATGCTGGCAGGACCTGAGAGCTCAGGGCCACTGAGGTGTGCATAGGACTTTCAAAAGCTATCAGAGAAAATTCAGCCCTAGTGATGAGGCCAAAGGTCTGCTCCCTCTGAGGAGATGTCCCCTAAGAGTGAATGTGAAAGTTAAAAGAAAGCCCCCAGAGCAGGACAGTGGCCTAAGTCACCCAGCCTCAGAAAACCTGGAACATTTTGGGATGTAACATTTGGGCTCATAACAAAAATTTAATGAATATCAATCCAGCTTTTTACATCCAAATGCTCCCAACTTAATGAATGTTTCTCCAACCAAGAGAGCAGACAAAAACAGTAGCTTGGGAAAAACCTCCTAATTCACAGTGGTGGGTTTGAGCCCAGCTATTTGATTTCTGCAGTCAATTAATGCTGGTGAATTCCTGAAGAAATCACTAATTGAAAAAATAACGACAGCTGAGATAAAGCAAGCTAACAGGCAACAATGTGCAGTCTCAAAAATTTCATAGTCTTTCTGGAAAACATGCAGCCTGGACAGTTGCAACAGCTAGTGAAAGTCAGTCAGCCAGGCAGAAAGCAGAAGTTTGTCACATGTCTAGACAAAACCAGCCTGTTCCTCCCAACGATGTAACGTTCAAAGCAGACACATCGCCTGGGATCTGCCAACAAAGAATTAGTCAGCAAATAATTTCAAAGAAAAGATAGCATTTTCATTAAAAAAAAATAACAAAATGTTTCCTACTTCATAAACAGAAACCAGGGAGAAATTAAATCACCAAATTATCTGCTACAGTTTACCACTGGAAGAACAACTGCTCTGATCCTCTTTAGCAAGTCCACAACTGGAAATGAGAAGCAGAACGCGGAACCAAAATATTTTCTTGCATTTTCTTTCGCAAGGGCAGGCACAGTATCAAAGCCTATCAGATATACTGGGGGCTCAGGAGGGAGAACTGAGAGCTTATTACAAATTGCTGAAATTGAAAAAAATCCACCATAATTCTTGGAATTCCCTCTTTAAAAAACAATGTTGATCTCCTGGGTCAGAACTGACTGGAAGAACATGTAATAGAGACAGACAGCACACGTGAGGTTTCAGGCTTTGTATCAAGCATACAGCACAGACATAGCACAGATACCCACTGTTCTGCAATAAACAATCAGTTTTCAAACTCACTCTCATCATTACCTACAAGCAGATGTAGTGCTGGAGTAGACACCAGGAGCAAAGGACAGCTATTGCAAATTAGAAATGCAGAAACAGTTTTCCTAGAGAGAAAACAGTTTTCCTAGAGACTCCAGCTTGGATGGCTTTCTCTTCCTCAGCAAGAATTCTGGGCTTGCTTTTCTCCCCCGGCTTCCCCCAGCTACACAGGTAGTGGCAGAACAAAGAAAAGGGACGAGGCAGAGAACAGTACAGGAGCTTCCAACCACCCCTAGGGAGAAATCCTTTTTACCACAATGTACCATTCGAGGGAGCTACATATGAGTGCAAATTCCAAATGTAATGTTTTGAGCTCAAAATCCTCCAGAAGAAACCAAGGACTAGAAAATTCGTGACAGGGCATCCCCAGAGTGAGTGGGCTTGGACAGAAAACAAGATACAGCAATAAGAGTGAGTTTAAGAGATTATTATTACAGACCAACAGTGGATATCTATGGTGTAATGAAGGAATGGTGCAGTCTTGTAACCAAAGTGTTGCATAGAAAATAAAATGGATTTTCTAATGTGATATTCCCTAAATCATGGACAATGATGAGCAAAACCTACAGCGCATGCAGGCACTGAGCAGTGGTGGTGGCTTAGTGAATGGGAGTCTGAGTCATTTCTGGATTAATGCTCTAACATAGTGCCAGGGGACACTGTGTTGCTGGAGATATCATTATTTCTCCGAGATATTTTGTCATTTATATTGCATGTTTCATTCCAGAAGATGACAATTACTCTATTCCAAAGAGGACAAAACCAAAAGGCCAGCTTACAGCTTGACCCTGGAGGGGTTTAGGAGGGAATAAAATATATCTGGTGCACCTTTGAGCAGAATTTTTTATGAAGTAGAATGGTGGAGGAGTTGAAAGGGCATTTCCCCAATGCCTGCTCCACCACCTGAGCAGGGAGGAGAGACATGAGAAAGGCTCCACATTCCTCTTCTCACATGGCAGATTGCGCACAAGGAGTAGAGAACTATTAATCTGTTTATTTTTGAAAGCAGAAAAGGAAGATTGGGTATTGTATTGATATATTGCCTGCAGAGGTGCAAAAGTTCTTCCACCTTCCCCTCTTCAGCTGCCTGCGTATGTTTTGCAGTCAGCTGCTGTTTAGGAAGAAGACAATCGTATGAAATTAGAGAACACTAATAAAGCACAAATCCTGCCTGTTATAAAATCTCATAAAATTTTCCTAAGACACAGCATGCAAGACATGATGTTTGACTTAAATTTCTGATTAAAGAAATACATTCTGCCTACCTAAAATTCATTTCTTGTTTTGATTTGTTGAGTGCATCATGCTTGGTTTCTATTTAGTGCAATGAAGAATGTCGTATTAAAACAGAACTTGTATGTGGTAAAATTCATTTAAGAAATATTCTGATGTACTTATGTCTCTCTAGTTTCCAACAAGAACCCCGTGGCTTTCCCCCATGGCCTAAGTTTCCTGCAGAGCACTGTCACCATAATCCCTTCTGGTTCTTCCACCCTGAAATGCTGCTGCTCTTTTCCCAAGCACAGCAGCTCACCCTGGAAGCTTGGCAGTGAAACATTTGGGAAAGATACCTGAGGACGGGGGAGAGTGGCAGCTGTAGAGTAGGGAAAGGGATTTTCAGGTGAGGAGGATGGTGATTTATCCCAGGGAACTGCTGTGCTGCCCTAATTGGCCATTAGCATTACAAACCAAGGCAGATAACCATAGCATTTATAACTTTCAGAAATTACTACCCCAGATAACCCATTTACATGTTTTTGTCTAAATAGTCCCAAGACATGTTCTGAAGCTACTATTTCCAACTGGACCATCTATTTTCCAATATCAACAAAAATCACATACAACACGGAAAAAAATTGCCAGCACTGTCTCAGGTGTCCCAGCGTGCACAGCTGTCATTCCCAGCCAAAATCCAAGGGCCCATGAAGCTGTTATTGAAACTGTGCACAGAGGTAACGTGAGCTGGGACCCAGGCTGATGACTGTGTGTTGACTGGTGATCCCCTGCCTGTTCTGACCCTGCACAATAACTCGCTCAGTATTAAGAATCGTGGGCAGCATCATACTTTACTTTCTCTAATGGCCTTCAGCTTTAACTTTTTAATTTCCTGTAGGTCTCAGCAGTACAAGGTGGTCTCCCAAGCTTTTCGTTGCTCGCTAACCTGTGAGTTGTGGACTGGGGACTCATGAGTGAGGGGTGGCAGATGAAGTATTATCTGACTTGGCTGCTGGTTTCCCTGCTTGTTATGGTTTGCAGGGGTGGGATACACAGCCTTGCAACCCTAATGCTCTCCTTTTTTTTTTTTTTTTTTGTAGAAACAAAGTTAATACCAGTGACTCCACTTTCAGGTGTGCATGTAAACACACAAGTCTCCATCCTCTCCATCACCAAAATTATGTGTTCTCAAAACATCTTTTATTGTATTTTTTTACCTTTTATTGCTGTATTTTTAATATTTTATTATTGCATTTTTTATCTTTTATTATTGTATTTTATATTAATCTTCATTAATATATTATTGTATTTTATATTAATCTTCATTAATATATTTTCGTAGTTTATTATTTTCACTTTCTCGTTGAAATCCATGATAATCGCCAGGGTGGGTGGACGGGATGGAAAATGCAGACACCCCGGAGCGGCTGGCAGCAGGATGGGCTCACCAAAACCCCCGGGCCGTGGCCGCCCCCGAGCCGCTGCTATTAAATAATAACAAAACTAGATGTCTTCATTCAGGCTCCCTCCCCGCCTGCAGGGCTCTCTGCCCGCTCCAGAAACAGAAATAAGCGATGCATTAATTACCGGGCCGGGCTGTGAGCCGGGAGGGGCCCCGGAGCCCAGCGCTGCCTCCGGGGGGGAGCCCGGCCCGGCCGCGGGCGGTGCCGGGGCCCGGTGCCGGGGCCCGGTGCTCGGTGCCCGGTGCTCGGTGCTCAGTGCTCGGTGCCAGCGGTGCCCGGGGCGCGGCGGGGAGGGGCAGGCAGGAGGGAGGGGAGCGAGGAGGGGGCGAACCCTGCCCTCTGCCCTCTGACCGCCGCCCGCAGCATGGGGAAGGCGGAAGCGGCGGAGCCGGCCCGGCAGGCCGGGCGGCGGCGGGGGGCAGCGCGGCGAGCGGCTGAGCGCGGACGGACGGAGGGACGCGACGGACGGAGGGACAGAGGGACGGACGGGAGGAGGCAGCCCGGCCCCGAGCCCCCCGCCGGCCCCGAGCCGCGACGGGCAGGGACAGCGGCGCCGCCGGCCCCGCCGGCGGCGGAGCGGCCGCGCCCGGGGGATGCCCTGGGGGGCCGGGCCGGGCCGGCGGCAGCGGCAGCGGCAGAGGCAGAGGCGGCAGGGGCGAGCCGCGGGCGGCCCGGAGCGGCTGCGGGGGAACCCCGGCCATGGAGCCGCGGGGGGGGCTGCGGGGCAAGGGGGCACCCGCGGGCTGGGCAGGGACAGCCGCGGCCAGCAGCGCTAGGGAGGCCGCAGAGCCCCTGACAGGTGTCCCCGGCCGTAAGTGCCCCTAGGCGGCCGCTCGAGGGGCGGCTCTGCTTGTTGCTGCTGCTGCGATCTTCAGCGATGATGCTGGCGGAGCAAGCCCAGAAGTGGTTCCCAACTCACGTGCAAGTTACGGTCCTTCAAGCCAAAGGTCTGAAGCCAAAAGGTAAAAATGGCAGCAACGATGCCTACACCATCATCCAGCTGGGCAAGGAGAAGTACTCCACCTCGGTGGCAGAGAAGACCCTGGACCCCGTCTGGAAGGAAGAGGCCTCCTTCGAGCTCCCTGGATTGCTCATGCAGGAGAATCCAGAAAAATACATCCTGTACCTGATCGTCATGCACAGGTCGCTGGTGGGGCTGGACAGGTTTTTGGGACAGGTGGCCATAAGCCTGAATGATATATTTGAAGACAAGCAAAGGCGGAAAACAGAGTAAGTGATGGTTGGCTTTCTTTCATTGTAATTTGTATGCCTTGTACGGTTGCACTTGGGGAGGGTGGGAAATAACCTGACCCTCAACGTACTTTGAAATTAAATCAGAACAGTTCTCTGTGAAATGTTGTGGTCAAACTCCTTAACGTCCACAGTTATGTCATTATGGCCTGACCTCTTCCAGAGAAGTTTACTGTAATCACAGTGGTTACCCTGTACAGGGAGGGAGTGTCAATAACATTAACTTTTTTGACAAATTCTTGTGTGTAACGTGAACTCATCACAGCCTGTTTTTCTAAGGATTTTTCTTTATTCTGCACAGGGCCATATCCCCATTCAGCTCCTACCTCAGTCTGGGCCATGCATGAGGCTCAGATGTCCTCAAAGCCTTGTGTTGTTCTCTTTAAAATTGTTTGCTTTCAGTTGCTGCAACCAAGCGTCTTTATAAATATTTTATATTTATGTTTTAGTGGTCAATGAACTGTGACTTAATGAAGGCTTACCACAACAGCACAGTGCTTTGCTGATCCTGATTAATCTTAGGCCGTGATCGTGCAGGCTGCACTGTACAGCAGGCCTCAACAGAGAAGACTGAAGAGAAATGTCAGCTGTTGTGGTAGCTTCCATCAGTACCTACATAAGCCTTTGTCAAATGAAGTTGCTGTTTGCCAGCAAATTCAGGCACTGGAATGCAAAAAAAAAAAAAAATTTAAAAAAAAGCATCATAGCAGTTAAGCTGAACTGTAAACTTATCTAATTCTCTGGGTTTTTCAACTAAATAGGAAAGTTGTTATAATTCCTAGTAAGGACAAAGATGTCTGGTACCTGTGTAATTTATCCTCCAAAGTCTATGGGAATAAACTGTAGGTATGAGTGTCCTGCAGGCGTGGCTGGGACTGCACGGTTTGGGTTTGTTCTAGTTGTGCTTGTCCCACAGAAGTTGTCTAGGAACACGTGGAGACCTCCAGGTGAGGTCTGTGTAGGCAGCGGTGTATGAACACTGACAGATCTTTCTGCAGGGGTTCAGAGCTTCCTTCTCCAGATGGTTTTCCTCCTCCAGTGTATCTTCAGTAGAACAGAAAGGCTCTGTAGAAAAATCTCAGCTGTTAAAGCCTGGTATTCATAATGGTGGTGGGTCTACGGTGAGGTGCTGGGCTTGGCATCAAAGTGACTAAAAGATTGGCATCACTTGTCTGTCACTGACTGTGCTGGGGTGTGAACTTACAGGAGGATGGAAAGGTGGAAATCCATGCAGCAACACCAGCCAGGTCTTGTTCATCAGACAACTGTTTCTGCAGAGACCACCTCAAACCCTGGTCCTGCTTCTGTGCAGTGGCTGAGGCTGAAGGAGCACCAAAGACAAGTCAAAGCTGTCTTTGCCCTGGTGTTTGTTTGCATTTGTAAACTACATATTTACCAAAACAGGATGTTAACAAACCATATAATAGGAAAGAAGAGGCTCGTGCTGAATATCTTGTGACTTCATTGTCTGGAGTATTATGCTTTTTAATTGCTTATCACTTTAGGGACAAACCAGTTATCTTGATGCAATACGTGGTAATGCCTGTAGCCTTGGGGTCTTAATTTCTGTTTATACTTGATTCAAGAAGTTTCAGTGCTCTTCAGACATGCATCTTAAAAATTCTTTAGTCATTAGTTGTAATTATCTTGCAAGTCAGTAGGTGACTGCCTTAGTTGCAACACCTAAATGCTCTACAGAAAAAAAGGGGAATGAATGAGGAAGGAATGCTACTAAATGTAAAGGCTATAAATATAGGTAGAAATATATATTCAGAAATTGGAGGGAAATATGTAATTATTCGTGTGTTACTGTGAGTAACAAAACCTAGAAAAAGAACCATAGGCTCTTGCACCAATTTTGGCAAAAATAGTATTGGAGACTTACAAAATTATTCCAGAAATTTTTGAGTGGGATCATTAACATAGTCCTTGTGATAGTTAAACAAAACATTCAGATCTCTGCACTACTCATATATGAAGTTATGCAGGGCTTCCTAGGTGTTCTTTATTTTTTCATTCCTTTCTGTAAGTGTGAGAGAGGAGCTCCTGCTATGGGAAGGTGCAGCAGTTCTCCCAGAGCTGGGATCCCCAGGGCTCCCCGGGACACCCGCACGTTCCTCGAGCTGGGCTGTGCAATGTGGGGCCGGGGGGGGGGATTTTTACAAACAGCCTGAGTCCTTTCTTCAGGAGTTCCTTGGGCATTTAAGATTGCAAATCTTATTAAAAGTTGATGTGTGTTAGGCTTCTAGAGCCGAACAGCCGTACTTGTAAAAGTCTTATGTAAGTGTAAAAGTGTGGCTGGTGGGGTTTTTGGCAGCGCGTACTCGCTTAGTGCCGATTTAAATTCTTATGAGCCACTGAAAGTCCAGTTCTCCCGTTGGTGTCTTTAGGTGCTTAGAAACCTCAAGAATGTCCTTTCTGAAACTCGCTTTTGAAAATAAAAATAACTCTGAGCCCTGAAGTGCGTGGATGCTTTGGAAGTTTTCACGGCTGTGTGCTCGTGCTGTTGCTGTCCCCTCTAAGCGTTACTTGGGCATGTGGGTGCAGGGTTGGGACGTGTGTGCAGGAGGGCAAACTTACATGAATATATTTGCAAATGTGATCTCAAACAAAGCACTCTTTTTTTGTTTTCCTTTTATTAAATGCTTTTTGATACAAAATATTTCTAGTCCTGTGTTGGCAGTAAACTGAGGGTAATATATTTGGACCTGAAGGCCTTCTAGCTGTGACTGTGGTGTGGGAACTGAGACACCCAGTGCCTTTCCCAACCAAGTCCAGAGCCTTTGTTACCAAAGTTTTCTGAGGGTTGAAAGCTATATTCATTGTTTCAGAAACACTAATCTGTTTTATTAAGCAATGTTTTTACTTTCAAATATGTTCAACAGGCTTGTGCTGTTATTAAATCCAGAGTTATTTTCTTATGTTGATGTAACCTTAACATTTCTTGCTTTGTTTGGGGATGAATGAGATCCAGTTATTTGATGAAGTGTCTATTGGTAATATTTCTACTTTTTAATATATTTAATAGCTTCCTCTTTCCAACACAGCTGTACATATGGTGCTGTAGGAGACAGACTCAAGAGTCACCAGGGTATTGCAAAAAAGATATTTAATATTCTGCACAATGCTGAACCCTGTCAGCAATTCCCTAGTGCTTTTTTAGTAAGGAGGTATGAGAAGTGAAGGCTACCAGCTGATTTCGAATTCCTAGGAAGACCATGGAGTGTGTGACATTTGGCTTTTTGTATATTTTTTTGATTTAATATTTTATAATTTGGAAGAAATAAATTTCAAAAGTCACTGCGGATTCGGGAACATTATGTTAGGGAAAAATAATCCTTTTTTTTGCCTGTATAACTTTTTTTTGCTATTCGTCACATCTTAAGAAACATACTCGCTGCATTAAAGTTTTCAGGCAGAGGCCTCATGATAGGATTTGCACATCTTGTGTTCTAATAAACTTGCTCTGGCTCAAGAGCTAATGAAACAAAGCCCTCTATTTACTACAACTCCTAGTGAAAGTTTTGTGTGCACCACAGTGCAGTGGTGCAGTGTCCTTTTCCTGCTGAAACTGGTGATTTTGGGAAGTATTAAAAATAAGTATTCCTGGAACAGTGAGATCCAGCTGCGGCTCAGATGGTCCCTGACCAGGTCTGTTCCAGGGACTTCATCCAAAGCATCTGCAGGATCCCAGGTCGTGTTCTTGCCCTCTCAGTGCAGAGATGCCCATCACCCTGTGCAAGGTTGTGAGGTTGTAATTGGAAATGGACAGGGACTTCCCACTTCTGCTCTTTTCTCAGAGCTGAAAACTAGGCTGCAGATGTGGAGAGATTTTAGTGAGGTTTGTCAGCAGTTCAGAAAGCTTGGGAGATACTGCTTGACTGGAAGCATATTTAGCATAAGTTTCCGAATGTTACATTTCTGACATGACTTTTATTTCTTGCAGTGGCGTCGTGTGAGTTTTTTAATTCATCCTGAGAAATACATGACAGGTTTTGTGGTCTGCTCTTGCAAAATAAATATACCTCTTCTACTCTTGCATTTGAAATGTAAATTATGAGCAACAAATGTGCTGTTTTAAAGCATGTGTGCTTTTTTGTAGTAATTTCAGTTCAGTTATAATTCATGGTTGCCTTAATGCTGCTGATAATCTGACTGCACAGCATCAAAACAAATTTTTGAATTACCGTGGAATAAAAAAATACTCATTTACTGACATGTCTTAATTTATTGAAGTATTTTCCAGTTGTTTTTCATAATGACTGTGCTTAGGTTTTTTTCACCTGTGGGCTAAAAGAACACAGCAAGAGAAGAACAAATTTCTGTTAGCTTTCACCATGATGTTACTTATTTCATCAGCTTTTGCTTCATCCTTGTTACTAATTCCACTCTGTTTATTGTCCATTCCTTTATTAGCTTTCCTGGACAGCTAATTTTATTGTATGTTCAGCTGATTTAAGATGCAGCTCTTGTCTGGAATGTTATAAATTTGAGGAGGCAGGAGATGCAGAGTTACTATTTCTTATGGAAATGTCGGAGGAGACATCTTTATTTGTGATTTAATTCCTCTTCTCCCCGGCGTCTGTAATACCTCAACAACACCCCCCTACACACACACTCACAAATTGCAGCACTCTTGTTAAAAACAATGCTTATTTGAGCACAGTGAAGGAATCTTGGCCTCATCTAAGAGACTTCTCTACTTACATTGATCATAAAAAATAGTCAGAACCAGCTTCTCAGCAAGCAAATAGAAAGAACTAATGACTGACCACAGTCACTGCCCCAGTGCTGCTGAGCTTCCTGGAAGATGTGCACATTGTGTGTCTTCCTCCAGATTGATGTGAATTCTTTCCTGGCAGCCTCCTGCTTGGATATGAACAGGTTCCATCTTCAGCTGCCTCTTCTCTGTCCTCTCTCTCACCTGTAGCAGCACAGGCAAGAGGAGGCACTGGAGTAGGTGGCTTCAAATACAGCTT